ACCCCCCCCCCCACCCCCTCCTGGCACCACACTCAGCAATGTACTTTTATGGTTTGTTCATGATATTTATAATACTTGAAAGTTAAAAATAAAGCCACAATTTGCTGCATTTATAATGCATTTCAATATAAAATCATACACGAATCAATGCAAATGTGACGATCCTACACTGGTACCAGTATTTGCAGGGTACATAGAAAGTCATTTTTACAGCTTGCCATTCGGGCAAACTGAAGCTGACATTTACTTGCCCAGGCGTCATTTTAACTAGCCCCAAAAACGTTTTGATGAGCAGATTGATTTCACAGTCCTTCTGTAATTTGAATATTTCCTCAAAAAAATTTACCCGTCGGGCAAGTTAATAAAAGAATTCACTAGCCCGATAGCAAAATCCACTAGCCCTGGGCTATCGGATACCACTTTCATAATTTGCATGTGTTTCTCAGTCTAAATCATGAGATATATTTCTTTTAGTGCGAGGCAGCCTGGCTGCCAGGTTTAAATAATCAGTCACTTAACCATGTTTTAAATAGTTTACTGCTACAAATTAATCCAGCTCGTGGGCCATAATACACACATCTGGTTATGTATCGTTTAAGAAAAATCAACTTTCTTCCCACAGACAGTGCAGGTTTTCTAACCTCCCCTCACTGGAAGGTTTCCTTACCTGGAAATATTCCATATTTCCATATTTTGGCCTTTTAGACCCTCTACCCCTCAGAAATTCTAATTATGAAATCCCAAGGGGTTTGAGTTTGGGTACTTCCTGGAGCCACACAAGAAGGGTTGATCTCTGCATTCTTTGCAATGGCCTTGATTTGTATTGGACAAGTGTGCCTTGTATATAAAATGGTGCTAGTCCAGTTAGTCACTGTTGACACCCCCCCCCCCCCCACCCCCCCAGTCCCCCCCCCACCCTATGCTGTATTGCTGAGCCTGAAGGACATCAAATGTGGTGAATCATATTTTTACTGGACACGCTGTCGAGGCATCCTTGCTTGCATGAACCTGAGTGATGACGCGTGTACAGTACTAGCGGTTGTTCTCACTCGCGCAGCGCGAAAAAGAGAAGTTTTGGTTTCGTTCTATTGTACTTGTGCTCGTTATCTCTATTTAAGCAGGCGTCTAAATATAACAGGGTGGTAATCGCCAATGCCTCCTTACTGACCCCCCCCCCCCCCCCCCCACAAGCCTTCCCCCCAACTTATAACTTGGTGATGAAGAATGCGATGCTTGACAAATGTGGGTCAGTTTCTTTTAGGCAAGAGCACTCGCAGATCTTGGCCTTTTGCAGTGAATAAGCTGCAATATGGCAAGACGAAAGTCCTTGTTCCTTAGGGAGTACACCACTGGATTGATCACACCATTGCTACAGGTAATCCACAAACTAACCACGCCTAACTTCTCTATGAGGCAGGACTGACTTCCGATAGCATAAAATATTTCGAGAATTAAGACTGGTATCCACACAATGACAAGAAACAGGAAAACAAAGCCAACTGTTTTTGCCATTTTTACTTCCATCCTAGTAGCTCTGATAGTATCTGAAGCGGAAGTGATTCCTGTATGTAACTGGCCCCGTGAAAGCAGCTGTTGCCTGTTCTCGACAGCTTTTTTATAGATCTTGTAGTAAAGCCCACAGATAATTAGCAAAGGAAGAACAATGTGAACTCCCAGAAAGGCATAGTAGTATCTATATTTGACATTCCATTCATACGCTACTCCAGAAGTAGGGTTAAAAGCCAATGTAGCCATTAACACGACGATAACAAACGTATATAACCAGAGTATTCCAATTATTATCATAGTCCTTCCCCAAGAAACTACTTCTTTGTAACGTACAAGCGACATAACTGCTTTATATCGATCCGCTGTGATGATCAACAGGGTGGCAAATGGGCTGGCCAAAGAAAATAACCAAACGGAATTCAAAATGTCAGTTCCCTTGGATCCAAGAGGCCAATCTGCGTACGACCACACATAGATCATCTCCATCGGTATAAGCCCAAAAGAAATGCAAATATCAGACAACGCTAGACTCAACAGATAGCCATTTGAAGGTCTACGAAGTTTCTTGTCTAAACAGATGACTATCGAAACTACAATGTTTTCGCTGACAGACAGCACGAACGTCGTTCCGAGAAGAATGGATATTGGAATTTGGAAATCTAAGTTGAAGGAGCACGCTTCAGCGATGATTGTCGAACGATTCATCGTTTGGGTTCAGTGCCACTCAATCAGACCTGAAGACCGTTTGAAGACCCCGTTACCTGTAATTTGCTCCAGCTGCAAATTTGCCACCTTGTTATCTTCAATGATTTGTACACAATATTGCGAACTCCAGGTGCGAACCTCTTGAGTTCCTCATTCCCAGAGCCTTTTCGGCTTTCAAAATGGCAGTATCTCAGAAATATGCTTTGTTGATATAACGATCATTTGTCACGCAGTCTCTTCTAATGATGTGATCTATAATAACCACGTCGCATAATGCCTGCGAGCTGTCTATAGCGTGACTTCTCTCGAACCCCACCCCGGAGACTACACGCAACCGAGACTTCTTCACGTCGCTCCGAAGGACAAGCATTTATTACTTTTCAGGAAAAGAAAGGTTGCTGTACGTTTGTTCCCCCAGAAACGAAGTTTAAAAGCACTTACCACTAAGACTATTACATTCCTATTTAAATTATAACACAAAACAGGATCACTGGAAAAACAAGACTGTCATTATTGGCGCAATATATGCCGAATTTCAGAAATGTATTACCAATTAATTGATTATTGCATGGAAATTGTAAGCAAGAAAACAGTTGGTTCTGTAATAATCTTTATCTGAAGCTTTTGAGCGAGGAAATGGCAAAATTATAATAGCAATAAGTATTATTGATAATTAAGCCCAGCTATGATTGTTTATAAAGGAAAAATAGGAAAAAAAATCAAATGAAATTTTATGAGATAAAAGCAAATTCAAGTTAAGAAAGAGTAGTCTCGTGTCTTTGTGAAAATGATTTATTCAAAACTTGTGACTTGTATTTAATTTTATTCTTTTCTTGTTATGTACGGAGCGTGACTTGACAAGATAAACAATAAAACTATTTTTGTGTATTAAACAGTCAGAATACTACATATAGAAGGAATATTGGCATAGTCCATTTAATGTGCACCTCACCTCAAAGCTCAATGTCTCCCTCAAATTAAGGGTGGGGGGGGGGGGGGGGGTTGTGGGGGGGGGTGTGGGGGGGGTTGTGTTGTTCCGCCAAACCGGGGGTATCATTGTGTAGGCTTTGGGGGAGCGGGGTAAACTTCCGGGGGGGGGGGGTGTTTGTATATTGTCTGTGTTTTTTGGCCTTTTGTTGATATTGAGGACCAATAAAGAAAAAGAAAAAAAAAAATAATTTATTTTTGTATATTTTGAAAAAAAAAAAAAAAAATAAAATATGTATATTCTACGTAGATCTATCTTCCCCCCCCCCCCCCGCAATACTATGTTTCGTGTGGGGGGGGGGGGGGGGGGGGGGGGGGGGTGTCTGGCTGGGTGTCATGTGGGTGTCATGTTGTTGCACAGACACAGGGCTATCATCTGGTATGCATTTGGGTAGCCTGGCTAAATTCCAGGGGGGTGGGGTTGTTGTAAAGTTTGCTGTGTTTTTGCACTCTTATGCAGTTTGTTTGTGCTGTTTGAATGCAAATGACCCACTCTGTTGATAATGTTCCTAGTCAGCAAGCAGTTAAACTGCCCATTAAAACGCCTTATTTTCCAGATTAATGAGGAAAACTTCACTTTTGTTACCTTCAAGACAGACGAATCTATCAAATGAAAGCTCATGTATTCAATAATTTCTTTTTGAGGTGAGATTTTACTTTTCAATTAACAAGGGCCATTAAATTACCAATCAGTGGGAGAGACTGACATGTTTTAGTAGCCTGGTTTTCAAAAAACAGGAATATATTTTTTTATCGACAATGTCCATCAACAGTGTGATTTTTTGGACTCACAGACCTTCTCGAGTGAGGCATTAACTGAAAACTTTTAACAAAATGTCTACATCTGGAAAGGTAAACATCCCATTCTGAGCTTGTTTAATCGTTAAAAAATAAAATATTCCTTCGAAATTTTATATTTCTAATTCTTGAGACGAAAGGGTGCAAGTTCCGTTTTTTTATTGTCTATTATAGCAAACTTTGAATCAGATTTAACAACCGTAGCCGATTTAAATGTATTTTGACTTTGCTTTACAGGTTGTTGTTGCTGAGGAGGGCAGCATCTAATGCAGCAGTCACGGTATTAATCTAAAAGATTATGACTAAATTCTATTTAACATTTTCATTCAATCGTGCCTTTGCTATTCATGTACACATGAACTGTTAGTTTTGATTTAAGCCTTTTACATTGAAAATTGAAGAGAACTATTTTAATTCATTATTGAGCCAGAGTTCCGATGCTAAACTCGATTACCAGCGGGTGTTCGGGAAGTGAGCCCTGACCCCGCTCCTCCCCACGAGAGAGTGGCGGAAATCGTTCCTAATCAGATGCAGTTTTATCGTAAATTAAGGTACTCTTATACTGAGAATAAAAGCTCTGGAAATCACCAGAAGCTGCTTAATGTGTATTAAGATGTATGTACTTGAGTGTGCTTAAACGGCGTTGACAGTTTTTCCTAAAGTTAAGTCACACAAACCGCTCGATACCAGTTGGCCCTCTGAATTGAGTTCCTTGTGATCATCGCAGTAAAATGAACAACGTAGGTGGGTGACAAAAAGAACCTAAAAATATCCAGTCTTGACCAGGATTCGGACCCAGACTCAATGCTCTATCCATTGAGCTTATCAAGCCAACTGGAGAGCAAGTCATTGTGAGTTCGTGACATATGACATGAATTGAAATATAAGAAAGTGAAATCAATATGATCATTGCAGTAGAATGAACAACATAAGCGGTTGAAAAAGAGCCTGAAAAATGTAGGCTTGACCGAGGGAATGGAACCCTGACCTTTGCAATGGCCGGATGCAACGCTCCATCCATTGATCTAGTCAACCCAACTCTAGAGTTCACTGCGCTATTAAATAAATGTTTTGTTACATCGACTGAAATGATGTGATGTCTGCCGCTTCTTCAATTCCGACCAGCTCTCTACAGGAATGCCCCAGTTTCACTTGTCAAGCGTAACAGGAAAAAACTGTGCCCGATGTCTTGAGTGCGACCCGACCAAGACCGACAATTAAAGTATTTATTTTGTTCGATCCCTCTCCAAAAAAAAACGAAAAAAAAAAAGCGAAAAATCAGAAACATTTAAATTCTCAGCCTTCAACTTACGTATTTGTGTTGCAGTAGCGCGCGATCGAAGGCAAATGTGATTACTATGATTATTAGAACAGTCGAGGTTTCTTCAGAACAAAGAAATGTTTATGTCTTGGTAGACAAATCATGATCTGTTTCTATAAAAAAACAAAGATGTGAGGGAATCCAGATTCTGGAATCCGAGAAATTTTCGCTTGTGAAATCGCTATCCTTGGAATGCGGACTACAGCTCAAGGAATCCGGAATCGCACTTGAGATTGGAATCCGGAATCCTATGTAAAACTCTGACAAAATCTGGAATCCAATACCTGGGATCCGGGACCAAAAAAAAAGGTTCACACCGGTAAAAGCGACATTACTGGCCGCCTGTTTTTCATTACCTATGATTAAAACGATTTTCTATCCAAGCTGATTAATGTATTTCTATTTTTTGTATTTTGTATTTTATTTTTACTCCATCCTATAATGCATTAGTTGTACAATATCAATAATACATTAGTTGTACAATATCAATTGGTACAAAGTTGCTTAAACTACGTGTACATAATAATAATAATAAAAGAAGAATATTAGAATGGAGAAGGGCACATTATAGTGAAACTAATCATGGCCCTTTAACAAGATTGACTTTATTCTTTTGTACTTTTGTTATTCATTAAAACACACACACAAAAAACGCGGCCATCATCATCGGTGACCGCTGACCGATTCTTGATCCTAATGCTTGATCCTCCTTTAGATATTTTGTCTGAATACACTTTTTCTTTGCTAGAGATAATAACAGCCCATGATCACAGAGTTTCACTCATTCACTCATTTAGTGATAGTTTCTTTGGAGACATCACTCTAGATGAGATTCTAGACGAAGTTGAGTAAGAGCCGGAAGACGAGACCTGGTCGGACTTTGATTACATTACCAGCGGGAAACATTTTTGGAACTTTAAGCTCATACACATCAACGCAAACAGTATTGCCTGGATTCAAATTTCAAGAGATCAAATAAGTCGTGTTTGGCCTGTCAACGCTTAATTCTTAAAATAAATGAACTGAATTTTTAAACGTCATTGTAAAAGTCTGTTCACCGTTCAGTTTTATCCGATTAACAAATGCGGAAAAAATCTAAAAAAAGAAAGACGTCCGCAGGAGCCTATCCTGAGTCCGCGTTTTACAAGTCCACGTTTTCCTTGTCCATCTTTTACATGTCTGCGTCTTACAAGTCCAGTCCAGTCCAGTCCACGCAATACAGTATGTCCTTCTTTCTGGCAGATTCGAACTTCTAATTATTTCTGAGACCAAACTCCATGCGACCCTTCCGAACAGCATGTTCACTCAGTGATAGTTTCCGATTATGACGTGATAGAAAAGCCGGCGGCTCGGGCTCGTTGATTTATGGTAGGTTTCACATCTGCTTTATCAGAGCCAAGCAGTTAAAAGGGCTCCCTTCAATATTATTTAAAAAAACTTTATTTCACAGAGGATTTATCCGTGTCAAAATCTTTTTGTGAAATGTGTCAAACATTGTGCTCACGCAGGATGACTGTGCTTTTTTTTTGTCAGTTCTTCTGTCTCCTCTATTAAAACCCTATCAAAGATGATTTAGTTCATGCTCATGTATTATATCTATTACATGTCACAGCTTAATGGGTCTTGGCGTATTATGGAAACATTTTTTCTCTTCAGCTTGCAATCTTGGCGGGACAAATCTTAACCCTTTATTCTTTGTTTTCTTTCTCTATATACGTTTTTTTCTATTATTCTGAAGAATAAATTTTCTTTTAGCAACCTATCATTCCTTTGTAATTATTGTCTTTATTACCATGATCTTCACGTTTGAATAAATAAGCTGGTATATTTTTAAGAGAAATTAAATATTCGGGTCACTTTAAGGGTTGAAGGGATAAGCTCTCGGCTCAGTCTCCATTACCTGAATGTCAGTCTTCTGGTGACAATTAATATTACAAAAATTCAATTGAGATATTTAGTTTACGTTCACAGCTAACTGCAGACATCAGATACATTAGGAATTGAGCAAAAAAAGCTAAACGAAGGCAAATTCTTATGGATCAAACTGACGTGATGAAACTACTCATTTTATGTACATAAGATACAGCAGTAAACTTTGCAGTAAACGGCAAAAAGAGAACTAGTTCGGGTACAAATAGCTGCTTATCGGTAAACCTAATTCATATATGCCTCCTTCTCTGCTTCTGATATGCGCTTTGATCATGACGCGCGGTTAATAGTAGGCCTCGGTTGCTTACAAGTTGGACAGCATTGTCGAAATCCATCCATCGGATAAAGGGGATAAGCTAATCGTTACCCAAAAACACTATCCACTAAATATTAATTTATCCCTCAGATCACTTGGATAACACTATCCACCTTCTCAACTTCTAGCTGGCTGGGGCTAAATGTTGAATTGGTAAGCGATGTTTCGCTAATGAAGCAAGTATATTCTGGAATTGAAGAAGGCCGTGGCATAAGTCTGATGATTTCTATGGATTTTAAAACTTTCATTTTTCAGCAAAAAATATTATGGTCGGGTTATTTAAACGAAGTCTAACTTAAGCCGCGGTTTTGTAAATCTGGACCTTCAGATATCTTCCTTAGTGGGTTATTTTAAGAAAACAACTGTTTTTCTAATCTACGCCTTATGCATACTTTCATGAAGCTGTTCACGATTAATGGTGTTTATGAAAGCGTTGAACAAACTGAAAAAGGCTTGGAACACGTTTTTGTTAAACACTAGCTAAACCCCGTTTTAATAACTTGCCCATTAAATGTACCAATTGGATTCCAGCGGTTAGTCATAAATACTGAGTTTTTGTTTTTATTTGTAGTTGTTGTTGATCGAAGAGAAACTATAAACGCCATTCAAGTACAGAGGGCAAAAAATTGTCGTGGCAAACCTTGATCTAGATACGAAGAAAGATATAAAAACTAGCTTGCGATGATTTCAATAGCTTTTATTCCTAGTATAAGAAGAGTATCTTAATGTACAACAATACTGCATCTAAACTGTAGCTCAAAAAATGAATATAGTTTTCTTTTCAGTTTAACCTTCAACGTATTGGGAAAAAATCATTGCTTACAGTTTACATGTTTATGATATAATGACAGCAGCGATATTTAATCGAAATATTAAATAGTGCTTTTAAAATAACTTCTTCACATCAATACTGCATGCTGCACTCCTTAGCAACAACAACCTTGTGTGCTCATTTTTCCTGATGTAGCAGTTTGTTTAAAATTAACATTTTCATTCAGATAGAAGGCTGCAGGAAGCACCTGGATCTTGGAATCCCTACACAAAGCATGCTGCACTCCTTAGCAACAACAACCTTGTGTGCTCATTTTTCCTGATGTAGCAGTTTGTTTAAAATTAACATTTTCATTCAGATAGAAGGCTGCAGGAAGCACCTGGATCTTGGAATCCCTACACAAAAGCTGGCCTGAAAATGTTAAATGATAAAAATTAAATAGAATATGAGAGCGAAAATAGTCTAGGTATCACATTTCTATACGCCATAATAGGCTTTAGTCTCAAATTAGACTGTTCGCAGTCCCCTATTTTTTCGTAAGTTCGTAGAGATCGACCGCTTTGTATTACGGGCGGCCATCTTGGATTTGATAGACCCCGACGCCCGCCCCTTGGTACAAATGAAAAAGCGCTTGATCCTGATCGACTGTCTTACGAAAAAATAGGGGACTGTGGACGGTCTAGTTTCAAATTATAATTATTACTTGGCTCCATGGCTGTGGGCAAGAATAAAAAATCTATTTTCTCTTGCTTTTGGGGTATAAGAAAAAAGAAATGTCCTTGAGTTTTCAGGGGTTAGCAGTTCATTTCTTTTGTTTTACTTCATTTAACTCAGAGCGCATTGTTTTGAGTTATTTTTGTAACAACTATATAGTTTTTGAAGTTATGAATATGTGAAGATTATATATGAGAACTGCGGAGTGAAGAATTATATGAAAGAAGGTCATCGCATGACATTTAATGTAGCCTAGCTTTACCTTCAAGGTAATCATCCTTTCCCAAACCAGTATTTATCTGACGTCTGAGTTCTTCGCTTTGCACAATTTTCTGAAAACATTATGATCATAAATACGTTATTATTATGGTTAATAATTAATATTTTTTGTTTTACATAACTGTTTTCTTGAAATAACGAAGCCACGGTAAGCACTGGTAAGTATTTTTAAATAGAGCGAGAAATAACACAAAACCCCTATCCCCTTCCCCCAAGCTTTTATGACTTCCTTTTCTATGCAATCTACAAAGCCACGTTACAAGTCCAATTTTATCTCTTTCGCTCAAGAAAGTCTAGATTTTATCCTGTCAAGAATGTGCAAGAAATCTGATTCAAAGTTTGTTGTGATAGACACTTATCGTTTGAAATAAAAATTCTATGGTAATTCAGAGGAATATTGTAACCTCTTTACAACCTAATGAGGCATTTACCTTTCCTGATGCAGGCATGTTGCTGAATTTTGAGGTAAAGCTTAACTTGTGAAGGTTTCGAGTTCAAAAACACACTGTTGATAGCACTATGCCTTAAGGCCTTTTATAGTCCTTGATGTTGTGTTGAACTGAAGTCAGGCGATGATCACGCGAGATGCACATTGAGTGGACTATGCCAATATCCCTTCTATATAATAGTATTTTACCTATGGAACTTAACAACCGATTTCATCTCTGCGGTGATAAGCTGGGTTAATTGTTAATCTTGTCATATCCTGTCCCATCTGACTTTCTTTACAAGTAAGTCAAATCACCCGAGGAAAGCTAAACAAAGGATTGAACATACACGAGGCATTAAGAAAAATGTTTCTTTAGACTTGCTTTTTTCTTGTATTTTGATCAGGTAAATCAACGTTATCCCTTTATATAATTAAGGATTTTAAGGAAAATAACACAGGACAGGAACACTGGAAAAACACTATAATTGTTATTATTGGCGCACACTATAATTGTTATTACGGCATGAAAATTTTTAAGTAGACAAAACAAGCTTTTGTGATGATTATTATCATCACCGCTTTCGATTCAAGCAAGGAAATCATATAATAGTCAAAATAATAAGTATTTATAATAAGTCTAGCTATATATGTTTGTGTTTTGCAGGAGACATCAGTCAATCATAAACGCCAACTAAATCAGTCAGACATGTTTAGCTTTGTTTTTTTAGCTTCAAGGACAATATTTATTGCTATTCATTTCATTTTGTGTATCACGTGAGGATAATGTTAATTATGATCGTCTTATTTATACAAAGTATAGCTTCAGTGCCCTGTGTAGTATCTTACAATACTTTTGAAAAGTTCAAGTAAAGTTTTTGGCAGAAAGAAAAAATAAGTCGCCCTTTCAGTCGTTCTAACACATATTAATTTATATGTGATATGTAGCTGACGAGCCATCCATCCTATGTCTTGATTTAATAGCTTTTCACTCTTCCTGTTTTAAACAATAACCATAAATTAAAATAGCTTTGTAAAAATAATTTATGCATTTTAAAGCAAGTCTTGTGACTTGTACTTAATTAAATGTTGTTTTTTTTTTTGCAATGTACTAGCGTGATTTGACTTAAGAAAGTCATAAGATGCAGGCATATGACAAGATAAACAATTTAACCCACTTTTGTGTAACAACCTCAGAGATCGGTTTGTTGAGTTCTATATACAACACTGCATCTTATCTCTTCATAGTCTCTTTATAATTTAAGTGCACCTCGCGTGATTATGGCCTGACCACATTTGGACACATTATCGACAACTATAAAAGGCCTGTCGATGAAATCCATCAGCACTAGTGATTTTGGACTCACAAGCTTTCTAGACTTGACTGAATTCTTCCCTGAAAACTCTTAACAAATAAGATGCCTGCATCTGGAAAGGTAAATGTATCTCTAGCTTGTATAAACGTTATTATATTCCTCAGAAATATTATATTTTTACTTTTTGACAGAGGTAACAGGTGCAAAGTTCTCTATCATAGGAAAATTTGAATCAGATTTAACAGCCTTGGCAAAATAAGATCTTTTTTGATCGAAACAGTATGTAGATGATTTATGACTGTGCTTCACAGATGGTGAAAGATAAAATCATAAAACATAAAAGGTCGATTGTCTTGATGCTTTTCCATTTTTATTTGTGTTGGGTAGGGGCGGGGGGGAGGGGGGACTATGTGACGTTGTTTAAAAGTACTTTCAAAGTTTAACACTGTTTTGTTTTAAGCGAACAGACCTGTAGAAGAAGATTAACAATTAACAACAACAACAACAACAATACTAACCAATTTATAAAACGTTTTTCAGAAAATTGTGCAAAGCGAAGAGCTCAGACGTGAGATAGATGGCTCTCTACGAAAAGATGATGACCATGAAGGTAAAGGCTAAATATTCTTTTGGATTTTGTTTACAGAAACAACTCATCACAATGAGCTCCGATGCTGAAAGGAGGAAAACCAAAAAAATGAAGTAAAACCCTGAAATCTCTTTTTTCTTATGGAGCCACGTACCAAATTGAAACTAGCCTTGCAAATGTGACACTTAGACCATTTTCGCTTTCTTGTTTTATTTTTTATTATTTTTTTAAATCTATTTTCTTTATTTCACCTTTCAGCTAAGATCCTGTGCAGGGATTTCAAGATCCAGGTGCTTCCTGCAGCCTTCTATCTGAATGAAAATGTTAATTTCAAACAGTCGGCTGCTTCAGGAAAAATGAGCACACAAGGTTGTTGTTGCTGAGGAGTGCAGCATCTATGACTGTTGCAGTGTTGATGTAAAAGAATGATTAAATACTATTCAATATGTTCATTAAATATTGCCTATGCTGTTAAATTATTGACAAATAAACTGTAAGCTGTGATTTAAGCCCTTAACATTGAAAGTAAAAAAAAAAAACTTTTGTTTTTGAGTCTGACAGTTCAGATGCAGTATTGTTGTAAATTAAGGTGCTCTTATACTCATAATAAAAGCTCTAGAAATCGTCACAAGCTGATATATGTATCTTATGTGTATAAACAATTGGGTGATTTAATCAAGGGCTGCCACGACAATTTTTGGTATCTTTTGTACTTTAACGGCATTGGCGGTTTGGTACTTTGGATGGAGTTCATTGTGCTGAGAAATAAAAGCTAATTCGACAGATATCATTAGATGCATTCCCTTTCTTAAAAGGGTTAACTTTCAACCGGAATGTGACCGTTTTACCGTAAATCCTCTATTAAGTCCCCCCCCCTTCCCCCATGAAAAAAGCCCCCTCCCTCTAATAAGCCCCCCTTTTTCAGAGAAGGAAAGTTAATAAGCCCCCCTTCCTCACTCCCCTAATTATTCTTTATTACTAATAAATGAGAGACCGTATTTAAATCAATCTCGACCGTAAAACTTCACGTGGACTAATCCGGGATGGTTTATATACCAACTGGAGGTTCGGATTTGATTCTGATCCTCGGCTGCATACCCTCCAACCTTCTTGTTCTTGAGCTCCTCTACTCTGTATTCTAGTTCTTTATGGAGAACTGATACCATCGTACTTTTAAAATTAAATAATCCCTCCTCTCCCCCTCTCTATTACCTCCCCCCCTCCCCCCAACCTTAAATGGGCTTGAAATAAATAAGTCCCCCGGAGGGCTTCATAGAGGAATTACAGTATTTGTGGAACACTGCTTTCGGATTTATCATCTGTTGATAACACGCATCTTGACCTATATGGGCATACATTAATATCAGAATATTTTTAAAGTGATAATGAATAACTTTTACGGTATTTGAACCACGTTTTTCCTATTTTTTTTTTCTTCGTTTACTGCATATTCCTTATATCTACCTAAAATTTATATCTACCTAAAATAGGTAGTTTTATCAAGTCAGTTTTATCCATAAGAATTTGCTTTAAACACTTTTTATTTGCTTCATATAACCTTATAAATCTGATCTCTGCAGCTTTCCGTTCTCACCACAATACTGACATCCCGGTAGGAGAGAAGATTTTTTAGTTATCCCTTTAACCCCTAAAGTGACAGGCTAGGTATTTGCGGGGGCTAGGTCACGCGCTATTTGCTAACTTTTTTAAAAAGCTAAAACGTTCTTCGCCTCAATGGAATTTGGAAAAAAATGGTCCAGTTTTGTTATTTGAGCCAGAGTATATTTAGGCATTGAAACTGTTCCCTGTCGTCCAGTTCAACGTATGGCAAAGATGGACAAAGATTGAAACTTGAATAAGTTGGGCCAACTTTTTGACGCTATGCCTTCAAGAATCACCCAAAAAATTATTAGCCGTAACAGGGGCGTAGCTACCTGTACGCACGGTAAGCACGTGCGTACCTGAAAAGGTCGTGGGTAAAAAAAAGTAACGTTATACAAAATGAATTAAATAAAAACAAAAAAGCGAATTGTTCTTAAAAAGTAAATAAATAGTAAAAAATTGCCTCAATTCATTTACATATAAGGTGGTTGGCAAATAAAAAGATAGTTTTGACCAGTCGCCTGAAGAGAGGCCAAGGTAACAAAGGCCTTTTTTGTAATACAATTGGTTAATAATCCTCCCTGCTAGAGCGTGCTGATCTTGAAAATCGGCCCGGTCCCTTTTCGCAAAATGATCATTTGAAGCCGAAATTGTCCCGTTTGTTATCTTTTTGCTATGAATCGAGAANAAAATGAATTAAATAAAAACAAAAAAGCGAATTGTTCTTAAAAAGTAAATAAATAGTAAAAAATTGCCTCAATTCATTTACATATAAGGTGGTTGGCAAATAAAAAGATAGTTTTGACCAGTCGCCTGAAGAGAGGCCAAGGTAACAAAGGCCTTTTTTGTAATACAATTGGTTAATAATCCTCCCTGCTAGAGCGTGCTGATCTTGAAAATCGGCCCGGTCCCTTTTCGCAAAATGATCATTTGAAGCCGAAATTGTCCCGTTTGTTGTCTTTTTGCTATGAATCGAGAACGGCGACCCCTATTTTTGATTGGTTCTTTAAACAGCTTCCGCATTTGCTCAAAGATTTAAAGAATTTGTTAAATAAATATATTTTTCAGAAAATTGTACAAAGCGAAGGGCCTACACGTCCCATAAATGCCGCTCCAAGAAAAGATGATGACAATGAAGGTAAAGACGGTCTTTTCTCTTCTGGTATTTTTTCAAGTAAACAAATCAACGCAGTGAGTTTTGAGGCATAATACGGAATGAAGCAAAACCTTGAGTCAAAAAAGGGCCAAAGGTAGTTTCTTTTTTCGTTTCTTTTTCTTGGTTTTGTTTTTTGTTTTGTTTTTTGTCTTGCTTTGTTTTGATTTTTTTTTCGCTCAAAGAGCGATACGGAGGACAAGAGAAAAAAGCAATGGTCATACTCTTAGTTTCTATATTGCTTTGGAGATATTATTTTGGCCGTAGAAGAAACTGTCTGAGGGAAGGGGTCTCTGACAGGTAACGTTTTCAAAAATCCGGCTAGAAATAGAAATGTGAAAACTGAATCATTTTTCCTCTTTTTACATCCTTGTATTATTATCATTATTACTTTATCTTTTCAGGTCAGCTTCTGTGTAGGGATTTTAAGATCCAGGTGCTTCCTGCAGCCTTCTATCTGAATGAAAATGTTAATTTCAAACAATCTGCTACATCAGGAAAAATGAACACACAAGGCTGTTGTTGCTGAAGAATGCGGCACCTATCACTGTTGCACCCATGCAGGATATAAAGAACTGACTAATTGCTGTTTTATACTTCTTTTGAATTGAATATCGCTGTTGCTGTTTTCTCATAGACATGTAAGCTGTAAGATATTACTTCAAAACCCTTATTGCATTGAAAGTTAAAAAAATATATTTATTTATTTTATGAGCCACAGTTTAGTTGTATCTACTTAAATAAAGAACACTATATTGTAATGAAATTTGTAGATTTAACCTGAGAATAATTAAAACTCTTATTAGATCAGGACAAGCTGATTTTGATTGCTTCCGTGGAAATAATTCATGGGTTATTTTACCAAGTTTGCTAGGGCAATTCTGCTGGAGCTTCAGTTTTGACATCGTCCGAGTGCAGCAGGTTTTATTCACAAGGAAAATAACAAAAGGAATGAAATAGTCCTAGTCAGGGTAAGGCTGGGTAATTTCGTTTCTGGAGAAAACAACGTTTATCATTAAAGTTTGCAGCCAAAAATACTACTGTGGCATCCTCCTGCTGATCCTTGAAAAGGGGGCCAGCGGAAGTAAATCCTGCTTTCCATAAGATCGCTACCATCGCTGTGATCGCTGACAAAAATGGTTCAGCGATCGCATCGATTGATGGTTTCCATATGATAGCTGCGATCGCTGAATTAAGACCGAGGGGACCTGGGTCTAACAACATAGTTCGCGCTATTCCTCAAATTCAGCATAGCGGCTGTGAATTGTCGACTCCTACTTGAGGCGTGTTTTCTAGTAATTATGGACGACGGGAAAGACAGAGAACTCATGTTCGGGACTTAAATCGAATTTCTCTCCGATTGCTTTCCAGCAGTTGATGTTCTTGTACTTGTCTCTATATTCCTTTGAAAATTTGATGTAAAGACAGTTGTATTTTTGTACTTCTTCCATAAAAAGTGCCTTGTCGATTGCTTTCTCAATGTTTGTGTTGGCAGCCATTTTGAAAAGCGTAAGCGTACGCAATGCATCCTCTTGTTTTTAATTTGAGGTCGCTGAGACGCGCTGTGATCGCTGGAGAGTGGCTTCCATATGATCACTATGATCGCCACGATCACTGATATAGAACTGAAGTCTATCTCAGCGATCTTTGTCGCTACAATCGCTGTGATCGCTGCCATCGCTGGAGAGTGGTTTCCATATGATCGCTGCGATCGCTGAACTTTTGTTTCATCGATTGCAGCGATCGTAGCGATCATGAGGAAACAAGGCTTAAATGTACTGAAAAAGCTTTGAAAGTTTGTTTTGAAAATAAGCAAATACATATTCAAACACAACTGCTCAATTGCTACAATGAACTGAGATCATACCGCTAAAAAAAAAAGAAAAGATAAATCGACGGAAATAGTCAGACATACTCACATGTTGAACTCCAACGTAACCAAATTAAACAGGTGTCAGCTGAAACACGGACTCGGGGTCTGGGCTAGGCTCGATTTTCGCCGCTCTGTCATTTCCCGAACAGCGGCTGGTACTCGAGCCAGCTGTCGAGCCTAGGTCTTGGCCGGGATAATCCGCCTAACAGTCGTTTCCGTTTGCCTTAGCCAAATTGGAGACGCGAGAGGACGAGCAAAACAAAGCAGAGTGTGGGAGGAGGCCTTAATCCCGACCACCGTTCAATTTTGTTGGTTCCCTTTTTGCCCAGGCCAGTGCATGCAAAAACCGTTAAAATCAAAAATCCAAAAACATACGATTGTTGGGAAAACAAAGTTCTATTATCGTGCAAAGTCTCAGCTCAAACGGTTAAAAATTGAAAAACTAGTTTGAAAGAGACCACTTTTTGATGACAGCTGACCCGGCGTGAAATCTGGACATGATTTTCTATCGGTTTTCTTTTTTGTTTCTCGCACTCGTGGACTTCATAACTGCAAAGTCCTTTTAAGAGAAACGTTTCTACAATTAGGTTGTGTAAGTTAATTTCGGTCACGACAGATTCTTTTGGAATAAGTAACTTGAGTTTCAAGTATTATCATGGCGACTCTCTATCTCCAAACACTAATACAGTTTCCTGTCTAAGAACAAGGTAACAAAGGCCTTTTTTGTAATACAATTGGTTAATAATCCTCCCTGCTAGAGCGTGCTGATCTTGAAAATCGGCCCGGTCCCTTTTCGCAAAATGATCATTTGAAGCCGAAATTGTCCCGTTTGTTATCTTTTTGCTATGAATCGAGAATGGCGACCCCTATTTTTGATTGGTGTTTTTGCTCATTATGGCTGCAAGAAAAATACATTTTTAAGAGAAAAAAGAAATGAATAGTAGAAATTGTACCATTTAGATGAATGACACTAAACTCTGCA